CCTAATTTTTTTCCCCTTTTTTTTTGGTCTTTTTGAGACAGGGTCTCACTATGTAGTTCAGACTTGCCTTGAGCTCACTTTGTAGTCCAGGCTGGTCTCAAACTCACAAGGATCCTCCTGCCTCAACCTCCCAAGTGCTGGGATTACAGGTGTGCTCCACCACGCTCAGTGTCCCCAAAATTAAACTATACCCATAAGATGTGTTTCAAATTAATCTTGAAACCTCTTCTGCCCTGAGGTTAGCCAGAAAACAAAACAAAAAAAAATCCTTTATGAGTGTTCTTTCTCATGCATCAGTGTGCAAAGGAATGTGGTCAGGAAAGATCTTATGACGAGGAAACTCCAGATGTGGTATAGAAAGTTTGGAGACCGGGCATGGCAGAGGAAAGCTGCTTGTCCTAGGGTGGCCAGGAAGCAGAGAGAAGACAAGAATGCACCTTTCTAAGTCCCAGTCCCAGGCACCACCTCGTCTCACCAGGCTCCACCTCTGAGCACACGACTTTTGAGACGCATTTCAGATCTAAGTCACAACACGCACCAACCTTCAAATCGGTGATGCTGGTGCCTTCTTCCATAACCCCTTAAATGGAGCCAGTTCTCAGTGAGCGTTTCATATTTCAGAAGTGTTCCTCCTCTTTGCTGACAGCTAAGTGTCGTTTTATCATTACTGCACCTTTCTAGTTAATATTTATTTTTTTAAGTCAAACTATACAGCTGATTATCATCCTTGTCTTATTTAGAATTATTTCTTTCAGTGGAAAAGACACAAAATAGATCTTACTCTTTCTTTTGCTCAGGAAATGCTCCCATAGGAAGCCGTCTGCCTCTCCTCCTGTGATCTGAAGCTAGAATTGGACAAGACAGGCTTTTGTGCCCTGTAGCCAGTGCCAAGCTCTGGGTCTGAGCTCTGTGCTCTCTGGTACAGCCACAGAATTAAGGGCCCCGGATGGTGGCTTTGAGAGTCCTTGGGCTCTGGCTCAGAGGGGAGAGTCTAAGATTTCAACCTAGTTTGTGTGTTGTTCATATCTTTCACTTATATCAGGGTGAGCGCCACCAGATTCAAATAGTTGCAGCATTAGCACAAGGCAAGTAGGAACAGCCTTTGTAGTTTTCCTAATAGCTTATATTCCATATGTTTTGTGGAATTGCTTAATGAATTCAGCAAATGTTTAAAATTTTTGTGATCATTTAATTTTTATTAAAATAAATAACAGCAAATATGATACTATAAAAGTTTTGACAGGGTCTTTCCTATATTTTAAAGGATTTTCCTTTTCCTCTTGTGCTTTTCTAAATTTTCTAATGTTTTTATTACAAATATATATTAATTTTGGATGAGAAATTAGTATTAATTTTCAAGCTAAAACTACGGCACTGGGCTGGCCTTTCAGGTGAGGCTGGAAGAATATGAACATAGCACTAAATAGTCTACATTTCTGGAAACTTCCTTTAGTTTGACTGAAGGAATCTGCAAATAAAAATTGGAATGATACCAAAGTTTGAAGTAATCAAAATGGACTGTGAGCACATTTCAAGAAAATGACGAGTGACAATCAATTTTATATTCTCAAATACATTTTATACTCTCTGCCTTTGTTTGGATGAGAAAACTGAAGTCTGTGTTTCCACTTCTGGGTTTCCATGAGGTTAATTTTGGCACATTGGTTAAGATGGCAACTCCTCGAGTCTCCTGCTTGACTTAAATTTTCACCTACTACTGAAAACAGGTTGCAGGATGGTGGGCAAGTCATTAGCCTCTGTGGACTTTCATCTCCTCCTTTTAAAAAGCAAAATATATACCACATGGCACTGAAAAGGACTGTATTGTACGTGTAAAATACTTAGCACAATGTGACATATTGTGTGAGCTACTACCAAAATATATGAACTCATCCAAAATTTATAACCCTATGAGGCAGGCGCTAATGAGGTCATTAATATTAACATTTCTACTTTTAGATGGCAAAACCAAGGCCAAAAATCATTAAGTGATTTGCCCAGAAACACCATGTGGCAGAGCTAGAATTGCACGGTGGTCTCACTGTCTTTGTGTCAGGCCACTCTTATAGAGCTGCAGATCACACTGAAAATGGCTGAGTCTCCTGCATTGGCAACTAAGTTATAAAGAATGCATGTTTTCAATATGCACAGGGTCATAAAATAAATATGCTTTGATAAAGCCACAATATTTTTCTTTTTCTAACATGTGCAATTTAAAAAATAGGCAGTTGTTTCTGGAACTTGGGAAACTGATTTAATCAAGCCATAAATCCTTACTGAAGACCCAGATAGAATTCTTTCCCCTCTAACGTCTCTTTCATTTATGTTTCTTTCTTTTCTCAAATTTTTCTTTTCTCTTGCCAACATTATGTTGACTTTTTTTGTCCCATGTTTACATTATGAAGCTCGTGGTGGACACAGATCTTTTCTTCGGAGATACTACTGAAATACCAAGAGCACTAGCTACAGTATGGTTATTCAATATTTATATCCAAGATATTTTACACAATTATTATTGTGTCCTCTGTATTTCAGGACTTCAAGTAAAGAATTCCATGTCAGAATAACACATAAATAGTTTAAGTAGTTTTTATAGAGATTTGAGGGACAGTAGCAGGACATAAATAGCTTACTAGACACGTTTGCTAAAGTAATGGGAACCATCTCATCGCCAAGAGAAAGTAAATTAAAGGATTTATAGTTGTGATTCAGTAATCTTCAAAGTGTAATCAAATGCAAGCAAATTACCCAACTTGGGAAACTAATTTCACATTGGGAGTTATGAACATCAGCCCAGTGATCTATGAACAGGAAGGTACCTGTGTTGTTGAGACCCAATTACTCTCACCCTGGCTGCCCACTGGAAAAGCAGGCTGCTGGTCAGCCCAGGGTGCAGTGCTCCTCAAATCCTGAGGTCCAGTTGCTCCCTTGCCCATCATTTTGTTGGAGAAACTAGGCCGGGGTGTTTTGTAAAGCTTCCTGGATGATTCTGCTAAACTGTGTACAAATGCTCTAACACAGTATGGAATTTTGATGGACACTGAGAGGGAAGAATGCTCTTTAAAAACATTCTTTCCATTAGAAGAGAATTTACTTCTCAGCTGCCTGAAATTTGGCTGTCATAGCAGGAGCAAGCACCCTCTGAGGCAGCAAGGATGTTCGGCTTGGCAGAACTTGGGCATAGTAACAATCACAAAGGACCCCATTATCTTTCTCTTTCTCGGGGCTCCCAGTCACGGTGACGCGCAGACATGCTTGTTTTTCAGAATAATAAATGAGCGGATGTGAAATTCTGCTTTTAGTCGCATGCATTATTCTCAGCATCTGTACAGTTATGCCGAGTCTCCAAACCCCAAACTGACTTGCTTTTCATCTTTCTTTCCTCCTTCCACGTATATGATTTTTGGCAAGAAGAATTTCCATTGATCAAAGTCAAAGGAGAAGCATTTATAAAAAATACAAAAATAAGAAAAGAAACTACAGATATCTCAAGCAGGATGTACATCTGGGGAATAGGTTCTTTCCTAGAAAGAAAAGTACTGTGGTATGAGATTGCTAGAACTATTGTCATGCAAGAATTTTACATTTGGTATCAGAGCCCACTGTTCCATTACTAGGTCATGGCAAATCTGAGCTTTCTCTGTACCTTGGAGGCATTTTCCCAAATAAACAGAGTTCAGGCTACAGTCAGACACCCACTGCATGAAAAAAACAAATCTGAAGAGCCAAGGCCTGAGGTGCTGGATGGCTTCAGCCTCAGATGCTGCACCCAGAAACCCCAGGAGAGACATTGCTTGATTCCATATAAGACATAGAATTACACTCTGGCCTGGCCAGGGATATTTTAGATGTTACGTGATGAGTGGTTATGAAGGTGACCACTTCACTGGCCTGAAAGAAAGACAATGAAAATGAATAAATTTTGTTTATTTCTTAGTGGGAAAAAGCATGTGTAAGGAGTTTTCTCCCTAAAGATCCGGCGTGCTAGCCTACTCAACGTCAAGGACAGCAATGCTCTTGTGTAGCCCTAACGCAGGGCCCAAGGAATTGAGGTAGGAGAGGACAGCTTGTCAGTCTCCTTCAAACTTCCCAATTAGCCTTTCCTGTTACTACTTTTCCTACACAGTTGACCATCAGAGAGTGTCATTCTGCTCAAGAATAGTATTACGCTCTGTTACTAGATGGGAAAGTAAGGGCCTCACGTCTGAACTCTTCAGCTTGCTTTTACTGAAGCATCATCATGAAACTCCATAAAACTCTCCAGCATCACTGCCAGGCAGGTTCTGTATGTGACCGGGTTGTAAGAAGGCTGCCAATATAAACGCAATGCCCTTCACCTTCGTAAGAACTTAAACACGACAAGATGAGTATACTTGATATTACTCTTGGAACTCTTTCTCCAAACTTGTTCAATATATACCAAAAAGAACTACACTTTTTTGTTTAAATATCAATGATTCAAACTCAGATGTGCTTTCATTCAAGTATTGCACCAACAATAGACATCTGCACCCTAGAATCCATTTCTACATATGTATGAGGAAAATTCAGAACTACTTTTAATGTTGAAAATTCCGGGCTGGGATGGAAACAATAGAAAATATGCTTCTTGTTAGTGGAGCTGAAAATGGTGGAAAAAAGGATTAAACTATGGAAACAAAAACTTTTAATTCAATATTCATAATTGGTGCCATAAAGTATCTTAACTATATTAATTTAATCAGTACACCACAGATTTCTGGGATTGCTCAGTTGGTGAGCAAAACAGTGATTTGACTTTTATAAAAAAAAAAAAAGCCTAAGGATGATAATACCATAGCTCTACTCCTTTTTTAACTTTTCAAAAATGCTATGAAATGGAAATAGCTAATGCGTTTACATTTTCAACTCAAATAGAACAAGGATAAATTAAATGTGCTTTCTTGAAATAATGCAATGACAGTTTGACACAAAGAAAAGTAGCTGATTCTACAACTCAGAAAAATCAGAAGATACTGCAGTGACATAAAATTGACTTTTAATGTTTACCATTTCATTGTTATCTTACAGAAAATGAAAACATTTTTTGTAATACAGATTGGCTCTTCTCAAATTTGTATTTAGTAGGTACTAATTGCCTGAATATATAGATCTTTATTTTAATCGGGTGGTTTAATGTCATATGATTAATTTCTTCTTTTGTACATCATTACTGCTCTGGGAGTAGTGAGTTATGACAAAATTAACATCACAACAAAACTACATCAGTTGTCCATTGACCATTCTTGATGTGTTCTCACTAAAACAGATAATTGATTCCCTGTTAATCCTGTCCTCTTAGTGGCAAGCTACGCCATGAGACCACCATGTTCCTAGGAGTCCTGAAATCAGGAAACCCAGTCTGGCTGCCAGCAACCAAATTGGAATCTCCTCTGAGTCTACTTCTATTGGCAAAATAACAAGCGCCTATATTATTGCATAAAATAACACTTTAAACAGGTACCGGCCCCCTTTCTATGAAAGAAAGTTTAAACATACAAATACCATATTTGGCTAAAAATTACTGTGGTAAGATATGGCAGCAGTCATTCAAAGATGGCTTCCAGTGTTAATGTGACAATTTATTTTCATTCCTGGCCTGTTTTTGTATGAGTTGCTTCTCTTTTTTTGGTTTTACAATGTAGCTGTCTTAGTGAAATGCCTAGGTATGCCTCATTCTTTATGTTGGCCACAAGAGTTAATTATAGACAAATTGGTGAAAGGATTTTGTAACCAGACTTCCATTTCATTCCTCTGATATTCCTGGAATCAAAGTCTGAAAGCCGATTTCTGAATTAGCTGCTGTTATATCAATTTCCTGTTATGAATTGGACCAGGATAACTTTTCTTTTTCAGACATTCTCAGTGAGATACGTTGGGCAATGAAGTAGGCAAGCAGATATTTGTTGGGAAAATAGCAAAATCAGAATGGTAAAAAGACTCCTTCTTCAGCTAGGAGTCCAAAGAGTAGAGGAATTCTGAGCCTGTGGGTGAGGGCAGAAGATAAAAAATATGTTCAGCAATATTCATTCTGTTAGGATTTTTTTTTTTCAAGAATGGAAAAATGGTGTGTAATTGGTATAGATTTTAATCAGCTAACAGTCACTCCAGAAATTTTGATCAGCACCAAGTCCTGTACTAGTAAGTATTCAAAAGTTAAGAAATCATACTACACTTTATAAAGGCAGAGTTCTATGACAATAACTGGAAGTTATATACTTGCTTCAATACAAAATTATTCTCATTTTCATTTCTAATAAAATTCTTATAATATAGGCAATAATTGTTCAAGTATGGGCTTCTTCCAATGAGCTAACTCCCACTTTTATTTGAAGTTCTAGAGCTGCTATTTTGGAGACAGTCCCCTTTTTAAATAATACATTCCTCTTATCCTAGACCACGCAGGTATCTTTAATTTAGAAGTGTGGGTTCTATTTATACCAGCAGTATTTGAATTAAACCTCATAATCTCTTTGGATCTATAACTTCATATAATTTGCATATCTGGCCTAGCTTAAAAATATGCATGCATACATTGTCATCTTTTAATATTAAAGCATCTGAAAATTTCCAGATATGCTTTTGATCCAAGAATCTACTTTTATTTACAATATTTCATCTAGATAATATATGAATATAGGTATGGTTTCACGGACTTCCAGTTGCTCTATACTTTCCACATATAGAATTCTACATTTATAAATTTATAAGGACCACTATAGAGCTTTAACTGCAACCACAATCAGTTCAAGAAACAGATTTATTTACTCATGTTCATGGGAGAAAAATCTACATTAAAAACATTCATGAAAGCATCCCAGCTATGTCATCCTTAAGTTATTTTACTAAATCCCATTTATTAGAAATTGCTGTCAAACAATGAGAAACCATAAAATGTAATCAATCTGAATACAAATATTGGTCCCTGTGGGGTCTCAACAGTCATAAAAATATAGGAAAACAGAGCATTGTTTAAGATTGGAGCTGCTAAATGCAAAGGTGTTTTTCTGAAGCTGGACTTAGATTTCATTTAAAGCCCTGAAGATTTTAGTGTAAACTTTTTGATGATAGTTTCAGCATTTCGTTTATGCCTAATGATGACCAGCAAGGTCGGTGGCATGGACCATGTTTGTTAGTTCCAGGAAGGTTTAGGATTACGTTGCTGACTTTGTCCCCAAACACAGGCACCATTTGGGCTTTTTAGTTATGTAAAAACAGGAGTACAAATTTTGAAAGTTGGGTCTTTATTCCTTGGTTAGGCAAATGTATGGTTATTCATTCTGTCTATGATTTAATTTTCTCACGTAATGTAAATAAAAAAGAAATATTAAATAGTTTAAAGTTATTTTTATAGGACAATAGCATTTCATAGGCTAACATAAAATCAAGCTGCTAAATTTTACAATTTTTCTGTCCAGCAGTTTATCTATATAACTACCCTGAGTGGATGCTAAATGCTACCTAGCAAAGGGTGCTTAGAATTTAAATATAGCTCAGTAATGCTACTCAAAAGATAAAACTATTCCTCTCAGACACGTGTAATTTTAATTAAAGAAGGTAGGAGTCTCTCACGGGTTGAATATTATCTGCACATTTAAATCTCGTATAAGTGGGATTGTTAAGGAGGATTCCCTGTGCTTATTACTATGCATTTGAGCCCATGTGAATTTTTTGTTGTTTGGACACAAAGGGAGGGATGGAGGAAGTGAAAGATTGTCTACTGGAGACTTGAAAGAGTAACCTTTAGAAAAGCGTGGACTGCTCCCTTGTGAAACTGAGTTCTGTGCGACCCCTCGGAATCTCAGTTTGGGTGGAGGAGCCTGTATCGAAGATTTGTTGCTCTAATCTTTTCATCAGGATCGTAGAAACATGTGAAGTTTGTGCTTAGGGGTGGGGCTGGTGCTCTCAGGAGCCTTCCTTGCCTTCATGGGACCCTAGCAAGTCTGGAGCTGTCCTGACCAGGTCAGGCGAGGGGACAGGGAGGCAGCGCACACACAGTTTGGCTCGAAAACCTCCTGGCCATGTCGAGCTTCCCTTAAAATTATATTAATTTGTAACGTATATTGAAGGATAGCTTTACAAAGAACGAATTAATGAATTGGTCTTTATGAAAATGACTCTTTACAGTAAAAAAGGGTTATCACAGTTTTGGTAACTTGCATGAGTTCATACTGAAAAACAAAACCAAACCAAACACCTTTCACATGTTCTCAATGACTCTGGGAAGGATGCCTGGGCCTCTCAGTTGTACGCTCGGAAGCAGTAGACACCGTACAGCTTGTGCTTTTTATCTGGGAAGCCCACGAAGCGCACTGCGGCCTCGGTGGGGCTGCAGCGCCGTCTGGGCCGGGAGATGGGATAGCGCACACTGCCGTCGGCCAGCCAGCCCGCGTCACAGCGGTCGTAGCCCAGGAGCTTCCAGGCTGCGAAGATTTGGCCCACCTTGGCGATCTGAGCACCATCGTTGAGACAGGCTTGCACCGCTTCGTCATAGGTAAGCTTGGTGGGATGGATCAGATAGTAAAAGCGGCCTGCAGGGAGGAGAGGAGAGAGCACCTGTGACCAAGCCACCCAGAACAAGCCAGAACCAGAAGTTCCTTTCAGTGCACAGACTTGCGTAGGTCTGAGGAGCTTTGGGAAGCTTGGACTGTCAACTCACTGTCAGGCCCCTGGCTCTCTCTCATGTAATTCCTTTAAAAATGCTTGTCCCTGGGGGTGGGGATTTAGCTCAGTGGTACAGCGCCTGCCTGGCAAGCGCAAGGTCGTGAGTTCGATTCCTGGTACTGGAAAAAACAAACGAACAAAATAAAATACCTGTCCCTTAGTATGTGTTCACACATGCCCTTTCACAGCTCTAGCGCCAAATGGAAACACAGACACAATTTCTACTAGCTGATTAGTGATTAAAAAACACCCTTTTGTGGTCCCAGAGGAGACAGAATTCCATGTTCAAAGCAAGGGCTATTTAAATTCTAGCTGGAGCAAGGCTGAAGCCCAGCACAAGTATCTGGAGAGGCAAAATTTGAATGTGAAAGGATCAAAAAAACCCCCAAAAAACAACATTTCTGACATAAAAGTCCACTTAAAAAAAATCAAAAGCTCTCAAGTCCTTTTCATTCCAGGTATCAATAAGCCAGTATTCTCATTCAAAGATTATAGTGTGAAAATACATTAAATGCAGGAAGTCACTGGCCACAAAAGATACAGACATAGGCTGTAAACCCAGTCCATATTTACTCACTAGCAAAGATGGATTTATGGATTATTGTGGACTCCCACCCTCTAATCCCTGACACCTTGCCCTGTCTTGATTTCACAAGAAAAATAAGTTAGGCTTCACCACTTACTTACTGCATAGTGCTAATTACTGAGCTCCTGTTACTATGTACGAGACATGCACAAAATGTGTAAAATATGACATCAGCTGACTGAAGCAGTACGTGCTGACCAAAGATATTTTAAATTCCAGATAGGATACACCTTGATTCTCCTACCTGATTGCACATTGGGGATGCAATGTTATTAAAATATAGATTAATGACTTCCTGGTTCTCTCTAGACTCATAGAGAATGTGATTGGGAGCAAGAACAGAGGGATAGTGCCCTCATCCGCACCAGAGGTTAGCAAACTGTAACACCTGCCTGCAATCCGGGCTGAAGGTGAGAAGGTGAGTCTGGGTACGCCTGTCTGTGCTACACCATCCAGAGCTATGGAAAGCAGGTGTGACGGAGACCACACAAGCAGCAAAGCCAAAAATATTCACTACCTGGCTCTCTACAGAGGAGGTTTGCGGACCTCCGACTGCTTTCCATTTCCTTAAAAGCATGTCACTGGTTCCCAGAGTGAACTTTGAAAGGGCCAGGTCCTGCTTTTTGGGTTGTGACTCCTGCAGTCCCTCTACTCATAGTTAGACACGCCTCATGCTCTCTGTTATCATCTTAAAATTCTTAAGCCGTATTTTCATTTTGCAGTGAGCCCCACAAATAAGGTAGCTGGTTCCACCCGGCGTGGTGGTGCACACCTGTAATCCTAGCACTCCGGGAGACTGAGGCAGGAGAGTCACAAGTTCAAGCCCAGCCCGGGCAACTTAGTGACTTAGCAAGATTCTGTCTTAAAGAACAAAAATAAAAACCATAAACCCTACCACTAACAGCCCCTGTAGCATGTGACAGTTCCAGCTATTTCATAATCAAGTTTAGATGCACTTAAACCTGAGTATCGGAAACACAGGCCTTTTTCCTCCACAAATCTGGATTGTCCTAAAATTATGACATGCAAGAGCGTTGCATAACTTTGCAAGCTATAGCAATACTTCAAAGCTTTGGCTCTTAGGGAGACTAGAGTCACAGCCAAGCTCAGGGCCCCTTGCAGCAAGCCTCAGGTAGGATGCAGCCTGCAGGTGGGTCTTACCGTTGAAGTTGGAGGTGAAGCAGAACACATCGTATCTGCTCTTCTCCTTGTCCCAGAAGCCGTAATTGCGGACGCCGGGCACGGTGTTCTGGCCCCCGCAGGGCTCCCGCGGCCGGGTGATGGGGTACTGCACGGAGCCGTCGCTCAGCCAGCCTGCGTTGCACCAGTCCAGCCCACCACGCCAGGCCTCGTAGAGCTGGTCAAAAGAGGCGATCATCGCGTCCTGGTCCAGGCAGGCCTGTCTCGCCTCGAGGAAGTTCAGGTTGTAGCGTCCCAGTCTCGGGAAGTAAGGGAAGACCACACCTGGCCAGAGGGCATGTGGAAGGATGAGCTGAGGCCAGCCACAGGAAATACACTCGGCAAACCTACCTGACTACACTCAAGGGTGCTCACAGGGGATGCTTTTTCCCCTTCCAAGAGCCTTTGATCCCTGAACTTCTCACAACCAGCCCTTGGGTTTGATGTCTCCAGTGAGCTGCCTCTTTTACTAAACATTTAACACACACCTTCAAAGTCTCCTTTCTAGAAATGGCTAGCAGCAGATTAGCATTCCTAGCCAGCCTGCCTGTGAATTTACCTTCAGCAGCTGCTTACTAACTCCAAGAACGGCTCAAACACACAGCCCTTTCCACCCTGGGGAGAGAATATCTACTAAGCAGGGTAGGGTATTCAGGACTTGGGGAGAGCACATCAGTCGAAAGTCACAGTGTTTTCCTTAGAGGTTCTTATAGAATGAGGAATTTTATCTAGTCTGTGAAGTGCCAGGGATATAGCTCAGCAGCATAAGTGCCTGCCTGGCAAGTGCAAGGTCCTGAGTTTGATTCCCATAGCAAAAAAAAAAATAATGCATATATATATATATATAGTCTCTGAAGTATATAAAGAAACGTTAACTATTGAAATACAGATCTATCCACTTACATGTGCTTCTTAGGTTATTATCACAGAGAAGCTCTGAAGTGAATTTGCATATCTAGCAAGCCTGACTAAATAGTTCATATGGCAATTCAGTACAGCAAGCTGCGCCCCTTCAAAAGCATCTTATTTCTCTCATCTTTCAGTGTAGTCCTTAAATCTTCTAGTTTTACTTTCCTTTAGTCATGGAACTAAAAACAAGGGCTTTCACCTGAGAATATCTCCACTACTATTTTCAGCTCCCATTTTATACTGCAAATGGAAACCAAGGTTTTAAGATATTTTTCACTACAAATAGGCAAAAATCAGCAGACAAACAAACAAACTTCCCTGAACGTATATAAGGCAGATACAGAAAAGGAACCAATAAGCTGACTGGTTAGTGCTGAAGTGGAATATTTTAGAGAACAAAATCCCTTAGCCAATATGAGTGGCATGACTTGGCCTTGGACTTTGCCTGGGAAGGTGCAATTATTTTCAAAACCATTCCTATTGCTCAAATAATGGTGGGAGATGTTGAGCCTACACCCAACACCCTGAACAATTTCTTAACGGGTGAAGAGCTGCAGATTAAGAAAGCAAACTTGTTTCATTTACTGGACATACAGAATGACCATGTTTCCCACATTTCTTTCATTGAAGGCTGAGACAGGAGAATCTCAAGTTCAGGTCTAGTCCAGGTAATTCAGTGATTTAGCCAGACCTTGTCTCAATATAAGACAAAAAATGGGTTAGGGATGTTCCATCCCATTACTGAACATAAAAACACATGTCAAAGCATCTTCCTCAGGATTGATAAAAGGTAATTAAGTTGGGGTGATTGCATTTTTAAAAATATGATTTAAAACAACTAATGTTTTAGTATATGGTAAGCAAAAGCTTGTCCCACTGACCAAGTAACTGGAGGGCTTGCACCACACGTTACGGGATGCAGACCCTGCGCAAGGTGCATGACTGCATCAGTGCACACAGGAAATATTTCCCTTTGTAAATGGTCTTGGGAGTCCCTACAAAAAGAAATTACCAGTCTGAATCAAGTCTCTTGCACCGAAGGTCTCTGGAAGCCACGGTTGTCCTCAGCGTGGTCCAGCTGGCACCTGTCCCTAAGGCAGAGTTCCAAGACTGCTTCCTGGTCTCATTCTGCCTGCTCAGGCTCTTGGCTGTGGGATCTGTAGGCTGGAGCGCAGCCAGAGGGAGAAGGGATGGGCTCTCTGGGTTGCCGCTGACGGCTGCTGAGCTGAGCAGGAGGAAGAGCCTGGAGCAATGTCCCCAAGCAGGGGTCTGTGAAACCCCAGCTAGGAGCTCAGCGGGTCCTGGGAAGGAGCTGCTCTAGTGTTTCCTGTTCCTGAGGGGCTTTGTCCTCTTTCATTGACACCCCCTGGAATGCCCAGGAAAGGAGGCTATTGAGCTCATCCAGGAGAGGGTCTCTTGGAAGCTAAAACTCAAGTGACAGAAAATCTCAATGAATCTCAACCCAAGGGGGGAAAGAAACTGTAAGTCATGATCAAAATATGCAGTGAATGTTTACATTTTTAAAAAAGTGACAGTAAAAGATGCTTTGGCATTAATTCCCCTCATAATACCCTCCATGTAGGGAGCTTTGAACACATGCATCCCCTGCTTCTGGCCACTTTCTGCAACAGTTCTGGAAGACCTCTTTCATCAGTGACTTCACTTATACTTTCCTGCTGCCATGGAGCTCTAAATCAAGGCAAAACAGGTTGCTTTCATAGTCATCCTGACTCTGAGGTTGACCCACAAGGTGCATGGTGCCAGATCTGGTGAATAGGTTGACTTGAGGCTGCCTTTGTGTTGGATGGTGCTCAGCAGTAAGAGTCACTGTATTTTTGATCACACCATATAAAGACACATAGGAAAGAGTAATTCCAGAGTCGCTTCAGAAAGTGGCAAGAAGAATAGGATGAGTCTGTTCAAAGCACAAAACAGGAGAGTGTTCTGAGGGAGATTGATGACAATGTGTCTTCTACTGTAATACATTTTTAAAGTATAAGCATTCACTGTATGTTTCTGTAACATCCTTTATTGTGGGTGCCTTCTCTGTCCCAAATGTCTCAGGATGGTGGAACTGGAAAATATAGGATATTTTAACTTATAGTAATTTCAAACACCTGGAAAATCTTTTAGGTTTAAATCCACCACAGTGTATTATGGTAAACTTTCATGGGCATTAGGAAAATAATTTCTTTAGTAAATTTTCCTTGATTGCCTATTGCATGTTACTGATATATGATTAGTTTAGTTATCAATCCAGTATATTTTTGTTTTAGTTGCTTTCAAATTTAGCATAATTTCATACAATCAACTCCTAAAGCTAAAGTGAAATTTTATGTTAAAATATCAATGTTTTTCAACTATGAGACTAAATATTCCCTTACTGATTGTACCAACTTAAAATATTTACTCAACAAATTTTAATTAATGTTTGATGATGCTGGAAAGAACATATTCCAGGTGAACTGAGGTCAACTTCAGTGTCTGAGTAGCTCACAGTGTAAAAGTTTCACTGTATTTTACATATTTAACAGAAGCAGTTCAACACTCAGACATTTCTCAAGCAAGGATGTTTCTGGAAATACATGTGTGTGAGTAATTTATTTGTATATTTCACTTTCAGCTAGTTAAAATTTCAACACCCAGTTGCAGACTTGCAATTTCTATAGCTGAATTATGGAGCAATACTTGCTTTCATTCAGTATTGCAACCATAAGAAAAGTTACACTTATGGGTAGGAAACAAGGATTTATGGTTATACCTAATTCATTTATCTTTCATGCTTATATATCAAAAGATAATCAAAAGCTCTTCTTTTTTTCCATGAAGGGCCAGTATGTACCACTATTGATAAGAATGATACACCCCATGGAATATAGTAATATAATACATGAAAGGATTAGTCAGTTGAAGCATATTTTGAGGAAACACTTTAAGATTTATATCACACAGCCAATTCATCCTATTAAATAATAACCTGTTAGATAAATAAATAGTTTTGATATCCTGGTATATGTAAAAGGATCAATAACTCCATAAAGTAAATATTTCTAGTAATGAGGCAAAAATCATGTAGTATAAATAATTTTACTTTCCTTAGTGTCTCTTAGTAGTATGAGCATACCAGAAATTATTTTTCTATTTCTGAGACTATATTTTTATGTATCTGGCCTCATTTTCCCAACAGATGGAAGGTGGAGAGAATAAATATAATTGTTAATATCTTTTTTGTATATTTGTTGATTGCTGCAATGAATTTTGTAAAGCCACTTATTGAATTTCTAGTAACACTATCCATGTTATATTTATATAATGCTTATTTCTTGTTGTATGGTTTTCTAGTAATATAATTAATTGGTAGTGATTAGAAGCTTTTACCTGAGCCAAGATTTTGTGCCACATAAGATATTTTGTATTTTAAGTGAAATTACAAAAAATGATAAAGATAACCAGAGAATAAAATAAAATCCATAAGGATAGAATTTGAGGAATCTAGCCAATGACCTAAGGACAATTTTCCCATAGTCTAGGGTAGGTGATGGAGGTATGGAATTATGCACATAAAGGTTGGAAAGCTGTGGTCAACCACATGAGGCAAAAGACACACTCATCAGCCATTAGCCACTCCCTGTTCCTATGTCTTCTCTAAGCCAATGACTCTTTCCACCCCGAATAATCCTAATGCTCATTGATATTAGAGTGACTAAATAAGCCCTGAAAGGCCAAGAGGACATGCTAAGGAGTCAAGAACTGCCACAAGGAAAGCCAGCAAGGTGTCCTGGAATGCACTTTACAAAATGGTATGAGTCAATCGATGTATGAGGTTCATAAGTCTGCACACATGTGACAGACTTGCACAGCTTCAGAAGTTCAGCTCTCCAGTGATATACTAGTGGGCCAAATGGGCATTTTTTTTCTTCCAAAAGCCATAACTCGTCCTTAGGAGATGATATGCACTTCCAGTTAATGCACACTGTAGGTTTATGGGAGGAAAGTACTACAGCCATGCAGCCAGTATTCATCACTCAGCATAAGTATTGTTGAAATCCACGAGAAGTCAGGTGGCTTGAGACATGTACAAAATGGAAGAGTAAGTTTCCTGGGAGGATGGCTGTGGGCCAGAAAGGAGGTAAACAGGAAAAGCACTCTTTGCCTTGTAGAGACTTACATACATGTTGGTTTTTGAAACAATGGAACATGTTACAGATTCAAGACATAGGGCCCGCTCCCATTCCCAAAACGCCTTGATCATTTTGTACTCAGTGTCTAAGAGACCCTTGGCTGTTAAACAGGGACTTAACGACAGGAACATTTAAATAAACTCAGAGGTTATTTTTTCATGAAATTAAATTTTTACAGTCATTTCACAGAATGTGATTCTATGCATTTTAGCACAGATGTTCTTTCCAAAACCTGCCATGATGTTGAAGCTGAGATAATTTTAGAAGGATAATAAAGAAGAATCTGATATGAATTTCTCGGTAACTATATGTTGGGAGTCAATTTTGAATAGCGTAAGGCAATTTCTAAGAATTATTAATCCAGTTCCACTGCAGGTTTCGCCTGGCTGCAAATGGCTTCAATTGTGCCCATAAGCATGGTGTGTACATTTCAAATATGAAAGCTGAAATCACAGGCAGACTACAAAGTGTAGAATACTAGAAAATACCCTGGGTACAGGCTTTTGATTTCTCACATTATTACTATGGTAACCATGACACATTACCTGTCATGAAAAAAGAGGAACCATGGTTAATTACCATGTCTCAGCTTAGGCTTTTGTATAGACACTCACCTTGCAAGTCTAATGCCACCACAGCAGTATCATCTTCTAAGCCTTCAATCACCTCACACTTGTATCTCCCATAATCCTCCAGGGTGAGGTCTGTGATGACTAGAGAAGCATCGTTGTCACTGCCTCCCCTCAGGAATACTCTCCCCTGGTAGCCTCCATAGGTTTTCTTGTGGTAGCCCATGGACACAAAGACATCCACTTCTTTGAGGTAATCTGAAGTTAGCTTGGTCCACTTGATTCGAATCTTGTGGAGTCCCGAGGGAAATGCTGTAGGGTTTCGATAAAATTTACACGGCAGTGTGACATTGCCACCTCTGTGGGAGAAGACCTTGGCTTGTTCTGCTTGCACAAGTAGACGGGGGCCATTTTCTGCTGTGATTAAAATGAAAAAGGGAAAATAGAGAAAAGAATCAATAATATGCTTTCAGAACTTTTTTTTTTTTCAGAGCTTTCTTGTACAGTGAAATATGCAAATACACTGTATGTCTGATATAAAGAATAGCTTGGGTCAGTACTTCCTCTACACAATCTCTTTTGGGGCAGATAGAACAGTGCCTCTGACCCTACAAGGAATCTCTAAGGTAGTCACATCTACTCAAACATTAAGAGAAGGAAAGATCTGCTTTATTCTCGTGAAGAAATATTGCATTCAAGACTGATAGCTATCTGAAGTGCAATGATTTCATAATACCTTCCATTCATTTTTCTGGTTCCATTTTTCTTTGTTTAAATATCAAAAATAAAGATGAGAATAGAGAGTGGACAGAACACAAACCTGAAACTTTCAAGGCAAGCCCAGCTAGATTTTTTTAATACAACAAGTTTGTATTATAATCATAGAGCAAGTGCAAAACAGCATGAGTCTCCTTCGTTATATTGCTCCAGCCAAAGAATTCAGAATATCCTTGGTTTGTGGCATCTATGCAAATATACATCCTCCTGCAGCCTGCAAGTCTGAGCATGTGAAGGAACAATATGCTTTTCATTTTCCCAGAAAGGCTAAACATCAGAAAGGTATTTAAATGAATGCTATTAACAAATTCCAGGAAATATTGCAACCTATTCTTCCCAACTGGAATGTTCAAAGTAGACCCACAGTTGTACTTACTGACTAGCCATCTAATTACTTGCTTCCTTGTTCCCTTTAAAGACCCTTCTAGCTCTCTCTTTCTGCCATCTTCCATATTTCCTTGTAGAATGCTCTTATCACCTCCTCCTTTCCTTTCCTTGCCCTTTGATTTTCCTCCTTCCCTGCTGCAAGCCTTTACTGCCTTCCAAAGAACACTATAATATCCCAGGTCTGCCAAATCAGCAGCACGGCTCTTCCATTACCCTCAGATCTTGGCTTTCTCTGAGGTTTTCACTGCTTAGCACATCATGCTGTTGACCTTGACAAGGTCTGTTAAGAACGTGCAAGATTTGAAAATGAGAAGTGATATAAGAACTCTCAGACAGACATCCCTCCTGCATAGGTGTCAAATAGTTCTTGGGCATGAAGCATTTAAGACACACAAACCCCTAGGGGCAGCAGCCACTCACCATGAGATGGATCTCGAAACTTAGTGGCAAACTACATACAATTCTGAATTTAAAATAAAACATCTCCAAAAAACCCAGATATAGCATTTCTATTTTTATCACATGGCAATCAGAATTAATATTTTCAAATGAGCACATTTATAGTGTTTCATTTTTAGTGAGCCCCAAACCTCAGGAAATGAAAAGTTTAACAAAGGCATCCATGTCCCCACTTTTCATAAATAATGAAATGAGAGAATAGTGACTTCATTTAGTATTTAGTTAAAATGAATCACAAACTCGGTTCATCAAACATTTCATTAATGTACTATTCTTTATCTTCTTATTTTGTACAAGAGAACATGAAATGATGAAAGATAAATCTATCTCTAGATCCAGCCTACATATCACTTTTACATACAATATCTTCAGTAATTGCATCCAAGTTCTATGTAAGCATCTCTAGTCTTCTTTCTAGGGCAAAGAAAAGGTGCTGCTATTGGGTAGGTTTTCTCAGTAATTCCTAGGCACCCCAGGGAACACTTCCTAGCATCTAGGTAGAACACCTGGGAACTGAGCTTCCCATTCCAGGACACAAGTTTAAATTTAGCCCATAGCTACACGCAGTCTTAGATTGATACTCTGAGAGTTTAAATCAAAATTAACATCCCAGGTTGCAGAGAGAGATATCTTTTAAGGCAGTTGAGAACAAGCTCTTTCATTGATGTAGGCCTTAGTCTAACTTCATCTCTTTAATTTTCTAGCTTGTTGGCAATTGTTACAAATGAGCCCTGAGTTTTTTACGTGGGAATTAGGGACAGGGATACCTCTTGTTAATTATAGTGCACCAAACACACATCAGCACCCAGGAGAGAGGCTGATCAAAGGTAAGGAAGCCCTAAACTGCTCAATGTTGCTATGACACAGTTCTTCCTCAGTATATCTCAAACACAAGGCTACCAACTATGGAGCATAACTACATATATTACCTTCCATGTTTTTAACTACCTGTACAGCTTTCAAACATGTGGAGTTAAAAATAAATAACATACGTGGCAAGTGTGTTATAAAAGAGAATTGAAATTTGTGTGGCTTGGTGTAATCATAAGGTATTCCAGAAGATGCACAAGGTCTGGATGTTTTATAAATTAAAGAACGAGAGCAAAGATCAGAATTCTTGTATAGAGAGTAGGACTTCTAATTGTTTCCTATGGTTAACTGTAAATTGTTTCGTAGTATTTTAGATATGTAGGCTTCTAATTTGTTTTCCTTCTTCTCCAGAATTTTGCATATGGTATAATAGTGAACAAAGAGCAGATGCCAAAAATCTACTGTCTTGAAACAAAATAATTTTTCTCAGGGAGGTATGAAATGCGAGTTTTCTTATTTCTTTAGGAAAGGCTTTGGGTAATAGGTGCCAGAAGTCTCCGGCTGCAATACGTAGGTCCTAGGAAGGACATGGAACATATTTAACGGCTTACTGCCACTGATGCTCATTAAATTCATCCTCTAACATGCTTTCCAAAGTAATGTTTTTAATTTGCTTGTTTTCCAAACATCTACATTGCAGATTATAGCTCATGGAGCACCGCTGGAGGTGGTGGCCTGTTTCGGAACAGGAAGGTGGAGAAGAATGAACAGGAGCCGGTGAGCTAGAAGCTCTGGGCTGGACTGCAGGTTCTACCACAGGCTTCATGAATCTGAGTCCTGAGAGCACCAAGCTTAATGCTGTCATAGGGTTCTACATGTGCCAGGTTGCCATCCGGGGACTGACCTGGAAACACACTAAGCTGGACAGCAGAAAGAGAGACAGCACAGGCAGCAGGAAGTGGAACCAAACTTGCCATGGACAAACTGCAGCGCTACACGGAGTCAATCTTAGATCTCATCGGTGGCTTCAACCTGTGGATCTGTTGGAAATCCACGCTTAAATAAACTACATTTTCTCAACAAGGCAGTTGTGTATAAACGTAAATCTTAATCATCAAGACGAATGTTTCTTATTTTCCTTCTGAAAACATGCAAGATTAAGTAAAAGTAAGCCTATATGTGCACATTTTTCCTTTGCCTTTCAATGCAGAAAGGTGCACACAGACACTTCTGCTGAAGACCTTAGTGATTAGCTTAAAAAAGGGCACCTACCCAAACACAAGCTTAGTGGAGAAACCAAGCATGTCTAGAGGGAGACCAAATTTTTTAAAGAGCAATTTATAAGTATAAAGCTTCCTGTTTGTATCCTGAGGGTTAGTGTTGGTGATTTGAATGATCTGGTGTCCTTCAAAGCAGGAGTCACCCCCAGGGGAAAACAGCAGAACCTGGTGAAAAGGATGATGGGAATGGAGGAACCCCGGGGGCATCCTCAGGATTTTACACCCTCTGCTGCAGATCCGGCAGGCAGCACTTGTTCCTCAGGATAATGAAATCATGCCTGTGACTGAACAACTTATCTTTGTACCTGATATGTAATTCAGACGAAGTCTTTTAAACATTGCACAAAAACAATTGCAGGAAAATACATCAGAAACTCAGTACCTGACCACTGCTTCTTGTTCTCAGTTCTGCTGAAAGCAGCTATATATATATTTTTTGGAGGGGCGGTTATCCACAAAGACATCCAGGTGATCGAAAAAAAAGGAGGTGGTGCTATGGATCAAAATTTGCTTTTTGAAATGAATTATGGATTGTACAAGTCATCAGTCTGACACTGTTTACTTTCTCCTCTGGTGTATAGATGAAGAAGGATTCGGAATTTGAGATTGTTAGACCAATTTAAAAAAAAAAACCTAGAAGGCTATTTTTTTAAAAATGTCTAAACAACAGGCTAAATAAGGGCATTAAAATATCTCTTCTAGAAAAATACTCTACCTCCACACTCCAGCATTTAAGTTTGTTGTCATGGTAAGATACCCCCACATACATGCACATATTTACCATTTTACCAGTCTTTAACTGCAATCCGGTACTACTGATTCGTTCACCTAGCCTGTTTCCACTGTTTCTCCAGCACAGACCTGACACAATGCCAGGCACACAGTGAGTGCTAATGACTGGAGTACTGGACTATGGCTCTACAGGGAAGACACTTTATAAAAATAGTTGTGCACACTAAAGAAACAACATTTAAATAGAACCAATAATGTAGGTATCTGGTCTCTTGTACCTTACACATTACCTTTTCAGGTAGAATATATTATTTAGGAGAAGAGTACCTTCCTCATTAACCTTTAACTTTTTATAGTTATTGTGTTTGCTTTGACTGGATGAGACTCATAGTGCCTGAGTGTGTCCACACCTGGAGTCAGGGGCACCATCTTTGTTTGTTATTTTGATGGGTCCAGTGGATTGGCTTGGGAAAACTTTATAGGTGACCTCCGTTCTATCTCTGCTGCTCCTCCCCACACAGACGCTACTGTCCTTTTAGAGGGTCTGGTTATTTTTAATTTGTTAAAGACAAAACTATAACTTGATTCTCCAGCTAATTCTTAAACATAGAAGATTTTGAACCTCTGCTCCACAGGGCAAGTCTGAAAGGAGCAGTGCAGAAATGATCTCATTCCTGTTCTGCGCCCCCACCTACTGGATGTGCATTTAAAGTCTTAAATGAGTCCCTGACTGATCTTTTTTGTCATCTGAAGTTCAATCTTTGACCTGCAGGTACATAAGTATATGTGTGCTTCTGGCCACTTGTGTAAATTTAAACATTTCTATGTGTCTGCGTAAATTACACTGGAAAATATTTAAAGAAACTCACAACCTTGGCAGCCTGTGGGAAGGTCAGGTGGGAATTTGGATAGAAGAATGAGTGAGAGATTTTCATTGTGCACATCTCCATACTTTAAAGGAATTTGGGC